AAAAGAAAAAGAAATACACAGAGAGAGAGAGAGAGAGAGAGGGAAAAAATCATTACAGTCTGTACTGCAAAAGAACAAAACTGTTCCTGTCCGCCACCTTTTGTCTTCAGCTGCTCCCTCTCCCTCTCTTTACAGACAAACAAACCACCGTCCAGTAACCTAAAGGATCCACAACGCCCTCATGAGCTGCCTTAAATCCACTGCCGAATTGGAGGAGACACAGCCAGTGTGATGTCTTTGTGGGCATAAATCTCCATGGAATCAAATCTGCTGCTGCTACTGAGTTGCACTCTTATCAGACTGCTCTGCTCTCTCTCTCTCTCTCATGTTGAGGCTGAAACATATGACATTACATGCAAGGATGGCGTTGTCAGTTACAGTTCTCCAGCTAAGGATTAGAGGGAGAGAGAGAGAGAGAAGTTAAAAGGACAGCAGTTGTACAAGGTTAGTCTTTGCCTCTTCGGATTCCAGTGACCAGAATACCCGTGAAGAGTGCCTCCAAACACTGCAGCCCCCTCCTCCCTTGCACACTACCCCTTGTCATCTTCTCTCTCTCTCTCTCTCTCTCTCTCTCTCTCTCTCTCTCGTTGAATTCCAATCCAAGCAAGACGGCACATGGTCATAGTGTTGACTTGACCTACTTAAGAGGAGATAATTCCTTTCCTATCTAAAACTCTCATTGATCATAAATCTAAGTTTCGGAGCTTCGTCAAGATTCAACGCGACTTCTGTCCTTCTCATCCCTTCCTACCATTATGCCACAGCAATATCATCAAAGAAAGACTCTTCAACAGCGGCAACAAGCTGTAAAGTCTCAATTCTTTGGATGCATTATATCAAGTAATTTCCTTAGTCAAATAATCTTTATTTTTTATCTCTATCTATTTTCAATATCACTAATGCTAATTATCTCATCTCGTCTAATCACAACACTCGTAGATCTCTTTTCCTCACTTTATCCTCTATCGGAATTACATTCAAGTTGGTCGAGCTTAGCAAAAGACTTAGGAATTACTCTGGGAAGGGGATTTGATCTCTGTCGTAATGAGAAGAGACAAGTTTTCCGTCCAGGGAAGATGCAGTAAGTGACAATGGGCACAGGGGATCACACTTGCAGTGTCAGATGTCAATGCTCAGCTTCTGGTGAGACAGGGGAACTCCCATGGAGCTTCCAAAGATCACATCTTTTGTGTGTCAAGAAACAGTGAGATGAATTGAGCGAGCTCGACATTGATCTGAGCCGTATGCCTGCTGGCTATTGTTTGCAGTTTCCAAGAAAGTAGCAGCAGAACTGATGAGACCACATGATTCCCAGGTTAATATAGAATGAATCATCTACTGGTTTGAACTTTATTTCCAGTCAATAAGTCAAGCTCTAACTAAAGGCTGGCCATCGGAAACAGGGATTCTGGGTGCTTAGAAAAGATGTTGGGAGGTCCATAAAGGAGGAGACAAGGATGGCAAGGAAAAGGACATGGTAGAACAAGCGGCTTCTGTGCCTTGTCACTGCAAAGTGGAGCCAGACTTGGGATCCAATGTCTGAGAAGAATACTATATAGTTTATGGAGAAAGTACCTAATAATAAAGATGATAGATGGCACTGCAGTCAGTGCCATCCCCTGAAAGAGTTCATCTTCTGTGTGTCATGGTCAACCCCAACAAACCTGCACCCACATGCACATTAGACTTCCAGAAACAAGATACTCCCAATTCCTTCAGAGAGAGCAGGGTCAACCGATCTGCATCAACCTTACACTCATCCAGTAGATATCCCTGCATGCATGCTCATCAAAAGTTGCAGAAATAAGATATATTTCCTGCATGTTCTCAGCTAAGTCCTTCAGATGGATCAGGGTCAACCATCATGCATCAATACTACACTCCTTCAGTAGATCCCTGCATGCATGCCCACCAGGCTTTCAGAAACAAGATATTCTTGCGACTAAATCTATGTCTTTCGGATGGAATAAGCTCTCTTCTGTGTGCGTCAAGGTCAGCCAACCTGCAAACACAATTCACTCCTTTGGTAGATCTCCCTGCACGCCCGCAACTAAATCCAAGTCCTAGCTCTCTTTGGTGCGGCTCAAGGTCAACCAACCTGCATCATCTCCTTTCATGGTCACCAAAACTCTCAGAAACAAGAAATTCCTGCATGCTTGCAACTGAATTTGAGTCCTTGGGAGAGAACAAGCTCTCTTCTTCATGGATAAAAGTCAACGAACCTGCACCAACACTACACTCCTCGAGTAGATGTCAGCAAAGTTTCAGAAACAAAATGTTCTTCCATGCCTGCAACTGGATCTAAGTCCTTCGGAAAGAACTAGCTCTCTTTTGAGTGGATCGAGGCCAAGCAACATGCAAACACAGCTCACGGATCCTTCATTAGATCTCCCTGCATGCTCATCAAGCTTTCAGAAACAAGATATTCCTTCGTTCTCTCGACCAAGTCCAATGAGCTCTCTTCTGTGTGGATCAAGGTCAACCGATTTGCTGCACTCTCGGTAGATATCCCCGCATGGCCACCAAACTCTCTGAAACTAAATCCGAGTCCATTAGAGGGGAGTCATAACCTAAGGGTTTCATTCAATCTGGCACGTGCATGGAGGAGGTGCAGTTCCTACACAGTACCGACAACAGAATGTCGTCTTCGTTCACTGCTGCATCAAGAGCTGTCAGAGTTAAAGCTCAGAATCAAGCAGGGAAAACCCTCGCATGATCCGGACGAAAGCGAAGCATCGTTTGATGAATGATGGGGCTGAAAGCTGCTCATCAATGACTGCCATGCGAATGGGAAAGGACTCACCAAACAACTGCCACCGGCCCTTCCTTCCCTCGGCTGTTGCGGTAGGAAGATATTTAATGAGGAGTTCTTCCATGAATGAATACCTAATGCCGGGGACCTACGTTATCATGAGAGACCACCTGTAACCGAGCATTTACTGACGTCTGAATTCGTGTATACTATCTTGAACACGTACATCTTCCCTTTCATGTAGGGTTGGCATCTGCCACATAAAGTCCACCCACCCACTGTACCACAGAGAATAAATGTGGCCAAACTATTTTATCTCTACCACATAATTACGTGAAATGAAATACATTGCTCCTACTCGTGGATTCCAACATTAAATATAACACTATAATACATAGCAAATGATCAACCACAATATGCATGAATACATGTTTCACTTCTAAATCTCATGTAGCCTACTCCTTTATCAGTTCTCACAGTACCTCAAGACACTGAGGAGTAAATGTAAAGAAAGTTGCTTACGATGGTGTGTAGACAACCTCTCCATGATGCATGACTCCAATCCGAATGGTTGCAGGTGCTCAAAATATGTCTTCCAGAGAAAATTTTGTCTTATAAAAAGTCAAAATGATCTCTGTCACCAACCCAATAATATATTTGTCAATATCTAAACAAAATGGATTCTGTCATAGACTTCTTAAGATTTAGTACATTTGTCAATATCTAAACATAATACCATACATGTGAGGATGTGAGATTTAGCCCAATAATAACTCCATATATAATATACCTCTATCCTTGTTCATTAATAATACTTTCCGTCTTGGGTTACCCATCATATATAACAATAAGTTGATATATGTTGCCAATAACTAGCTAAAGTCAATGATGAAGCAACATAATCTGTTGTCAAGAATTTTATTCATGTGTTGGATTGGGACATCTACTATTCAAGAATTAGCTAAAGTCATATGTTGTCAAGAATTTTATTCATGTGTTGGATTGGGACATCTACCATTCACACATGAGCAAGATATAAAAATTTAGATCATGTCTCATTTATCGATTTAAACGTGACATTGATTAAAAAAAAGTTTAAAATGGTATAATAGTGAAAAGTCATTCGTTCATACAAAAAGTCTCCATCCACATGAGGAGAGTGTTAATAATAAATATATATATATATATTTTAAGTTCTTTTTTAGGTTTGGGTTCTCCCTTTGGCACGTGCTATGCACGGGCTAATCGCATAATCAGAGAAAGAAGAGCACGCGTTCCTTGTTGCTTTGACGATCGTGCTATCGCCAATCTCAAGGATAGACAGGCCCCGCGAACGAACGGTCCAGATGCGAGAGAACCACGCGCATTATTGCGAGTACGGCGGGGGAATAACTTCCGTGACGACCGCATGCAAACGTTTTCTGATTCGACGACGAATGCACGGTCGATATCTTCTCAGATCAGCATCGGACGGCTGACGCTCTGCAGATGGCAATGCGTTATCTCGCGCGGACGCCGGCGTAAAATAACGTACCTCGGGTCCACTATCCACCCACTCGACGTACTCCGACGCCGTTTTCTTACTGGCCACGTAGAGTCTCCAATAGGAGCGTGCTGCCGGTGGGTCCGCGAAACCCTGTGCTTGTTAGCCGCGTGTCGTGATTAAGGTACCGATGGCGAGTCAGTTTGCGAGCGAGCAACGCAACCGAGGGAAGCGAAATAAACAACGGGCGTGATAGAAAAAATGTGAAAAAGCAAGTGGACGCACTCGTCTCACCCACCTCGCTCTCCTTGAAGTTGTAAAGTGTGGGCCCCACGTTTGTGGTCCCAGGAGTTGGCGTAGGGTGGATCCTGGGTGCCGTGCATCTAGGTGGAGGAGGAAATTAAAAAGGTTTGGGGAGTGGGGCTTTCTCACGGCCGAACTGCCTATATAACGTTTTAAAGCAGTACGCTCCTCCACTTCTTCCGCTCTCTTCTCTGCGTGGTTGTTATCGTCGGCCGCTGCTTAGGTTTTTTCTTGGATCGATCATGGCTGCCGAGTCGGGCATCTCGATCCGGATGAAAGGGGTTCTCTGGATCGGCCAGTGGTTGCTCCCGAGGAAGGTTCTGGTTCTTTAAATTTTCTCTCTTTCTCCCCGCCCCCTTCTGTGAGTAGCGAGGTTCGTAGTGGCAACGGTTGAATGAGTTAAACTTCTAGCACTTCTGCGGGAATTTAGAGTAGTTTTGCTGATGTTTTGCTCGAGAAATATGGTTAAATCTGGTATATTTTAGTGGCGTCTGGATCGTGACGGATGAACTGGAGCAGGGTTAGCTCCGTACTGAGTGGGTTTCTCGAGCTGTTACAGTCGTTAATTTGGTGATTTTATTGCTTGGAATCAGTGAACTAGGCTTTCTCTTGTGAAAATAAATTATTTTTGGTTCTTTTCTAGTGATTTTGTGTGGGACATTGTGATTGGTATGTGGGTTTCACTTGTTTGGATCTGCGGATCTGCCAATGTTATGCTTTTAGATTTTTGGCGAAGCAGTGACGTGGTTTAGGAACTCCACTCCATCGTGTTCTCCATCTTCTTGGTCCAAAGTGGCTTGCTATACACCTTGCAGCATGGGAAGTATTTGCATTCAAATCTCGGCCTTCTGAGTTGTTTTGAGGTTTTTGCCTTGATGGAGGCCAGAATTGGGGGTGAAAACCATCAGTTTGTTGCTGCTGGGACATCTAAACTGAACAGGATCGGGAAGAAGAGCCTTGAGTGGGACTTGAATGACTGGAGATGGGATGGTGATCGCTTTGTTGCTAGCCCTCTAAATTCCATCCCTGAAGATTGCAGGAACAAACAACTACACCAGGATACAGCAATAACATTGGTGTCAAATTGTTCATCATCTTCCTCTGAAGGTGTTGATTATCGACTGGTTGATAAGGAGAAAGGTGAAGCAGAGAAGAGGAGGAGGATTGTAGTGGGGGAAGAAGATGAATCTTTCGGTGGAGCTGGGTCCTTGTGCTTGAAACTTGGGGCCCATGCTTATCCAGTAGTGGAAGCTGACCTTACAAATTGGGAAGGGAAGACTGGAAAGAAGAGCATTCTGCTAGGAGGCAATTCTAGTCATCCAGCTTGCCAGGTCGAAGGCTGTGATGCTGACCTCAGTGACTCAAAGGACTACCATAGGCGGCACAAGGTCTGTGAGATGCATGCAAAGGCCAGCACAGCGGTTGTCAGAAATGCAAGCCAGCGCTTCTGCCAGCAATGTAGTAGGTTGGTTCAGCATGTTTGTTTGGTTCTTAATTGAAACCCATCCTGGATAGCACTTATTCAGTTATAGTATAGCTCAATCAAAATGTTTTTCTATCTGTCTGTTACATTTGTGTGTCACAGATAATCCATTTTTTGTTTTCTTTAGCTAAATCAGTCTGAAGATAGTAAAAAAAATGAATTTCTGAAGCTAGCTTGTTGACTCAGAGATTACCCTTATTGAAATTATAGGTAATATGGATACATAACAATAAATTGATTATTCCTCATTGTTTTATGGTTGAACCTCAACACTGGAAGCATAATATATTTAAAAGAAAGAGGAAATAAATAGCAAGAAAGAATAAGGGTTGCAAAATAGAAACCAATCTAAAAAAATGATGAGAAAGAAGAGCAAAAATGAGGCCCATTGCCCTTATTATACTGATGATTCATACACTAAATGACTAAAAGAATATCACAGTTGGTTTATGAAGCCACTTTCTGCAATAAAATCTAGTTCACTGATATTTATTTAAATTGGGAAAAAAATACTGAATAGAAAATTTAAAATGCCGTGGCTTATGTGAATTTTTTGTGTTCTTTGACAATAAAAAGCTATTAACTGTAGAGGTTCCCAGAAGAACAACTAAAAAAATTCTAAGTTAGGAGAATAATGCTGCTTGATACTGTATTAGTGTTGATCTGGATACCTTCCAAAAATGCATGATGATCTTGATACCCAAATAGAACCACATTGGAAAGAAAAGGAAACTATATACTTAGATTGTGAGCTGGGTTCTGTATCACTTGTGACATGGTTTTAAGCATTTTCGGCCATGTTGCTAGGCCCTCTTTTTATAAATTACTTAGGTGCATAATTTGAGAATCCTCATGTTTGGTTCTTGCTGAGAATGCCACATCTTTACAGGTTCATGGATGATCAGTTTTTGTTTAGAGTTTAGTTTCTGACATTATTTATTTGCCAAAAAGAGTTATTATTAATTGATTTAATCCCTAAATAGTCCAGAAATTTTAATGCACTTATTTGTGAATTTTTTTGAATTTTATTATCATTAGTTTCTTATTAAATGACTGTTGTAATTTTCAATTTCTAATTTTTTTGTTCAAATTTACTGCTATAGTTCTAATCCATTTTTCTGATTTTTCCTTTGTCACTCTGCCTCTTCACCTATTGCTCTTCAAAGAAATTTAGGTGAGCAGAGTCCTCTGGAATTGAAGTTAGTTTTGGTATTTCTAGGGCATCATAACTTATTTCATTCTAATGCATTTGCCTAAACAGTGTTAAGCTATACTTTTTGATTAAAGAATCAGAATAAGATAATGTTAGTCCAGAGATTGGGCTTTTGGGCTTCATGATGTAAAATAGGTTTGCATATTTAGTGACACATATAGCTGCTTTAATCCATTATTCATGATCTTATCTCGCAACAGGTCGAATTTATAGTATATATATTCTTTCTTGTCATGTTTGTGAAGTCTGAAATAGAATATAACAAAACTATGTCAATTATTCAACTTGATTAGTTGTAGTATACATCTATTTAACTTATGCAACATGAATGTTATCTCAGGTCACTTAGGATATATGGATGATTGACAAGATTAGTTGTAATGTGTGACATTAATTTTCTCTTGACATCTGGACATAGTGGCAATTATCAAATATTGCTTGCGTAGGACATTAATTTTTTTCCTCTGCAACCACTTCTGGTGATAAGGAGAAACCACATGTTAACTGAAATGAGAAGATAATAGAAAATTTTTGGGATTATTGCACTCTTTTGGTGATAAATACTTCACGCTAGTCTAGGTTAGTTTATCTCTAGTTTGCCTTGAACTTTATGGTTTGGTCCTTGATGTTGGATAATTATCTGCTTCTAGAACTTTTTTTTTTCTTTTTGAACTTTTTAACTTTTCCCCCTTTGTCTTTGTTGTGACTTGTGAGCTCTTGATAATCATGTCCAGGTTTCATCTTCTTGAAGAATTTGATGAAGGCAAAAGAAGTTGTCGGCGGCGCTTAGCTGGCCACAACAGGCGTAGGAGGAAGACACAGCTTGATGTCAATGTCAATGGGAATTCTTTGATAGATGAACAGGCTTGTGGCTATCTGTTGATAAGCCTACTTAGAATTCTATCCAATTTGCAATGTAACTGCTGCAACTTATTCATTGAATATCTGCAACATGTTACTCTACATGGTTTTTTAATCTCTAGTCAATTGCATTCTTTTTGCAATTTTCTTACTTTTCTAAATTCAGCATGTTTTGGGCAATTATCTAATTCCCATGATACCATTCATGAGCTTTTGGTCAGTGTTACCTGTACTTTCTTTCAGTGGGCAGGCTTAGAAATTAAGAACAATGTCTTTGGTAAACAAAATATCATTAGTAGGAAGCCAGTATGTAATGTAGTCCTGGGCAGACATCTAAGATGATTGATTAGTTTATCATGTATCAAGTGCTCATTCTTGAAGTTCTTTATATGCACATGTCACCTTAGGATTTAGTTATCATCAGGGTTTAAAATTTCAGTCCGGTGTTGATACTGGTCGATGACTGAACTGGTATGGTTCCAGCACAGATTGGCACATCAGCATGGTGTAGTTTGGGGCTGTAAAGGAGGCCAGCATGAGGAGGTCCAAGTCAATGAGGGGTATGCGATGGGAACAACGATCATCGAGTATGCAGTCAAATAATAGGTATGTGACACTTCCAGGGCCATTTAGGAAGGTGGTGTCCCACCAAGTGGGGTTTGGAATCAGATGCTGTAACCCTTGTTTCGGACTGAAATCATTCAGTTCACATCACTTTTTCTGGTTGGGCTGGACTGATAAATGTTTGCCGGTATGGATCAGTCTGTTTGGGTTTTTTTAACCCTTGATTATCTCATACTGTTTCTGTAGGGCACGAACATGGTGTCCTGTATGCTAGTCAAAATCGAGGGAAAAAAAAAAAATTCACGGATCACATCACTTTGGGATGTGGCATACTCCTGTGCCTTATGTTGATGACTAATTGAGATGGTGTTGACCAAGACGTATGTTAGGTGCAGCATATTAGTCCATTCTTTAACATGTTTTCCTTTAATATTAACAAAGATGAATATGTGGAACACATATTTAGATTTTAGAGTACTAACCTGTTCTGCATGGGGAAGATTCCAATTCAGCAAGGACATCATTACTCCAGAAATTTTTGATAGAAGTAGATGCCATTCAAGTATTTGTAACTTTTTGTTCTTTGATATGATGAGAACTTATGATTTTTGCTTTGATCAGAACCTTGCCTCATGCCTTATGTAATGGTTTTTTGAGAGCTTGACACCTTAGTATATCTTGAGCTCTGAACATATTGGCATGTTTATTGAACTGCAAAATATGAGTGACTACCAACTTAAAGTGGCCCAAGTGGAGCATAGTTAACATAAAAAATGGATCATGCTCATGTGCTTTATGTATTTCTTGTACGTGTCCCCAAATGTGGTATGTGGCCCTATATGTTGGCACATATGCATATCCAGACATATGACCATTTCACAGAAGCTAGTGTAGCCTTATGGTGTGGTATGATTGTACATGGAGATCAGTCGCCAAGTTGCAAAAGCATGAAAATGTGGTCCCATATTTGGTTTATGTTTCAGGCTTTATAAATATTGCTTCTACTGTAGTCGTTCTTCTAGTACCATAATACATGGTTTATAATAGTACGGTAATTCATAGTTAATACCTCAACCCATTTTGTAACTTTTACCAACATTGGTCCATGTTATGTCACAAATGTGGTGGTGGAATATTTACTTGTAACTTAATTGAACATTTTTTGAATGCTTTAGTTTAACTGCATATGTAGTTGCATATCACACCATGGCCTCTCATCAATACATGGCCCTTCATACACTCTAACATGTAGAAACTTGATAGCTGTGATTCCGTATCTGCTGATTTTGGCTCATGTTTCTGCAGCAGCTAACTCAGATCAATCACAAGATCAAGAGCTCTTGACTAATTTTCTAGGGAACCTGGCCACCTTTGCTAATTCCTTTGATCCAAGTGGTCTTTCTAGACTCCTACAGGCATCTCAGGATCCGCAAAAGCTTGTAACTAGTTCCGGAATATCCACAGATGTGGTTATTACTTCTGTTCCAAATGGTGTTCGTGAGCAAGAATCTGGTAATCCCTTGTGTTCGACGGCTGTAATGACGTGCATCACTGGTACTCAGGATCCTTTGAGGCAAACTGACCATGTCACATCTGTTTCTGTAACTACTGTTGACGTGCCTTCAAAAGAAAGGGTAGCTTCTCCTGGTGAGGCTGTGCCTGCAATTCCTTCTGTATATTCTACATTTTAGGTACTTAAGAATCTTGTTCTCTTTTATGAACAGAACTTCATGCTAATTAAATTCTATGCTATTTCAGAGCATGTCACAGACAGAGTCATAATGGACTTTGATTTGAACAATGCATACAGTGACACAAGAGATTGTGAAGAAGGAAGAATGAACCCAGCAACTCTCTTGTCTACTAGGATGGATTCTTCTAATTGCCCTTCATGGTTGCTGCAGAGTTCTCATCAGTCAAGTCCACCTCAGACCAGTGGCAACTCGGATACCTGCAATCAATCTCAAACTAGTTCACATGGCGGTGCTCAAGTATGTCATTTTTCTTGTGCATCAAACCAATCACAATGTAACATGCATCTATTCTCTAAAATTATGTTTACCTAAGCCCATATGTGTCTTCTGAAAGCCCAATACTTCTATCATAGGAGGTGTCTCACATATCTGCAACCAACCCCATTGCTTTAAACCGTTTTTTCCTAAATGAGATGGCACTGTGAATTTCTTTCCTTTTCTACCAGAGGTCATGAATTTGTGGAGTTAGGCACTATTCGTGTTTACTAATGCTTAATTCTCCTGTGGGACCAAGTTTATGGTTGTTGGGACTTGTTATTTGCCCCATCTCCAGAGCTTTCTCTATTACAAATTTTTATGCAAGCAAACACATTTTAGAAGCATGTAGTTCACCAAGTCTTCAAGCTTATGATTAATCAGGAAATGAAAATAAAAAAGGAAAGCAAGAGGTTTAAGACAAGTATTGAACAGATTGACATAGAAAGACTGTTTCTTTGATACCATTACTTGGTTCAATCGAAAGTTGAAGGTTAGGGTTTCATGTGCCTAGAAAAGGTTCAAAATAAAGGAAAACAAATGTCTCTATTTGCTGTCCTGAGAAAATCGCACCAAAACATTATCAAAGTGAAATGCAAGTAACTTGAAATCAAACAGCTGCTAATCAGCTTCATGTAGACAAACAATATTTATGTGGAAATCAGCAAGGATGAGAAAAATAAACAGGACTATAAAACATGTTGGGAATATTGAAGAGAGTAATTAATATTGTACTAGAAAAAAATAGAGAAAGAAAGGGATGGAAAAGGAGCAACATTTATATATTCATCCAAGGGGCTGAGGCCTTATTGCATATCGTAGATATATATTTTTTAATCTTATGAGGTTATCAGGTGTTATGATCTTTTCTTGGGGATCTTTTATCAGGAATTTAAGATGATACATCCTTCGATAAAAAATGGCTTTGCTCAAATCCGTGAGAAACCTAAAAGCCTATCTGAATCCAACAGCTTGAGAATTGTTTACCTTTTGCCTTATAGAAACAATGTTTTTAGCAAACAATAGATTCATAGAAAACATTAAGATGTCTGCCTCAAGTACACCACCAATCGACCCTTGCTGTTGCAAATATTCCACAATCTTTCTTGTAGAGAATACTACAGCTACTTTTGTGGTATCTTCTCATTCGCCTAAGATGAGCTTTAGTTGTTCTAGATCAAGGTCGGATAATTGTAAAAGGAGAGTGACAGCGACAGTGAAGATTGGACCAAATGAAGAATGCCATGTATGCATGTAGCAGAGCTTCTTTATGACTTGAAATATAGAGAACTTCTAGTTACATTCTGCCAATAAATCCGTACTGTATGTTTGAGGTTAACATTTCTTGAGCTTAAAAAGACATGGGTTGGGCTTGGCTGTTTCGTATCAGACATGATGTTCACCATTGGTCTGACTGTGAGGTCCAATGATGGCTTTCATTATCATATAAGATATTGCAGGCATGAGAATGAGAGTTTTTGGCACCTTATATGGATTTCCATGATTTTCGTAGCCATGGTTTGACGTTCGGGCAACTAATCCATGCTGGTCTCTGACCAGACTGGTATGGGTCTGGTATGTGCTGTGAAACTTTTTCCAAGAGTTGAATATACATGGTGTTGTGCAGCACGTGTCGCGGTCTATGTGAACATAGGACCATGTTGATTGGGTGTTCATTGTATTAAACATTGTCTTTGTCCTGGACAAGCAAAGTGGTGTGACGAGCCTTCTAGAAAACTTTTTACATTTATTACTAAAATGGTTTTGATTTGGGTGCATCTTAGGGGCTCATTTCGCCTATTTATCTTCATATCTTTATGAAAGTAATCTATCTGATTGAAGTTATAAAATCTGCAAGAACCAGGGGCTGAGCCACGATATTCACATGTTAGGTGCTAATTTATATATTAAATTTAGAAACCTATAGATATTTCTTTTTTTTTGCAAAGGTTAAGTGACAAAGGTGGGATTCGAGCATAGGACTTGCAATGATCTGCCAAAAGTCTATACCAACTAGGTTAGTTAGCACCTTCGAAACCTATAGATTTGAAAAAGATATCACTGAACATTTCTTTTATGTATTAATTTACTTGATTAGAAATTAGACTAGAAAATGAAAATAGAAAAATAAGAGAAACCAAAAAAATTTATATTGCTTGGAGAGTTTTTTGTGACCTCCAACAACATGTGGCTCACCACTATGCTACACATGCTCTGTCTTTTCTGAAAATGTGCCATCATACTTAAAATTAAATATTTTAAATAAAAAATATACTTTCAGTGACTTGTCAAAATTGCTAAATTGCTAGGGCAGCTTAGTAAATTTCTGTACCACTTGGTTCTTAGAAAAGTTTCAACTTATTCGTTATTGATTATTTTTTGTCTCCTCATTTCAGTGTAGAACAGATAGGATTATCTTCAAACTCTTTGGCAAAGACCCTAATGATCTTCCTCTTGCTCTGCGAACACAGGTAAGTTCCAAAATAGTTTTGAAATGCTTAAAAAAATAGAAAAATGCATGCACAAGTTTGTTTTTTTAAATTTGTTGTTAATTCTGAATTGCAGATTCTTGACTGGTTATCCAGTGGTCCTACAGATATTGAGAGCTACATTAGGCCTGGTTGTATAGTTCTAACAATATACCTTCAGCAAGCTGAATCTGCATGGGTACAGGTAAGTTTCCATCTCTGATCAACTTTGTGTTCCACAGTTCATTCTGCCTATTAATCTAATCCTTCCTATGCTGACAGCTCTCTCATGATTTAAGCTCCAACCTAAGCAGGCTTTTGCATGACTCCAATGATTTCTGGACAACGGGATGGATTTTTGCTAGGGTACAAAATTGCGCTGTCTTTATAAATGATGGTATGTAGAGCTTCTTCTGAGCAGCATTTTTTTCAAGATTGCAGCATTGTACAAGTTGGTTTTATTAGCAACCACAGAAATATCTTGTCATATTTTTGCATAATTCTTTTTCAGGTCAGGTTGTTCTAGACATGCCTTTCCCAATTGGAGATTTCAACCATTGTCAGGGTTTGTCAGTCACACCTATTGCAGTTGCTTGTTCTACAAAGGTTAAGTTTACAGTGAAGGGTTTTAATCTAGTTCAACCAACATCTGGGTATTAATTTTCTTTGCTTCTTATGAATTGAAATCTTTTGCGCAATTATATAACCTTTCTCTGGTGTATAAAATATGTTTTTATCTATTTTTCCTGTGTTGTATCATAATGCTGATCCTCCTATCAGGTTGCTATGTTCATTTGATGGGAAATACTTGGTCCAAGAAACAACACAAGCTCTAGTTGAGGGAACTGGTAGAGATGCAGGGCATGATCTGTCTCAGTGCCTGAGCTTTACTTGTTTGCTACCTGATGTGACAGGAAGAGGATTCATTGAGGTTCCGTCATATTGTAGTCATTTAGTTCCTATTTTCAAATTCTTTCTGTCAACTTTAAGCTTTTTCTGTTGATTATGGAATTCTTGGTTTTGACTCCTAGTTCGAAGATTGTGGCCTTTGTAATGGATTCTTTCCCTTCATAGTTGCGGAAGAAGATGTATGCTCTGAGATCCGTATGCTGGAGAATGCAATTAATATAGCCTCATGTGATGGCCAACTTCAGGAAAGAACTGATGCAGCCAATGCTAGAAATCAAGCTTTAGACTTTATTAATGAACTCGGGTGGCTGCTTCGGAAGAATCATATGAGATCTGCTTCTGAAGGAACTAAATTCTCTCAGAATACCTTTCCCCTGAGACGCTTCAGGCATCTTATGTCATTCGCTATGAGTAGAGAGTGGTCTGCAGTTGTGAAGAAGCTTCTCGATATTTTATTCAGTGGAACAGTAGATGCAGACAGGCAATCACCTACAGAACTTGCCTTATCTGAAAACCTGCTCCATAGTGCGGTTCAAATGAACTCTAGGCCTATGGTGGAACTTCTATTGAGATATGCACCTGTTAAAGCTTCAAAGGAGACGGATGTAGATCGTTTTTTATTTAGACCTGACATGCTTGGCCCCTTGGGTATAACTCCGCTGCATGTTGCAGCCTCCAGTAACGGTGCTGAGAGCATATTGGATGCGCTTACTGATGATCCTGAACTGGTACATATTATTTCATGCTTATGTTTTCATTCCTATAATTGATTGAGGCAATAACACGAAATAATCTGGTTGAACTTCGTTCTGGATGCTAATGGCTTCATCATGCTTTACATGACATTTTTTGCGTACAAGTTCTTGCTGGACCTTAGTTGTGGAAGTCACCGGCATATTTCGGTGTTAAAGCACACATAGCATTTGCCTGCAATTATTTTAGGCAACTCTCCTTAGTAGTTATTTCATTAACTTATATTTGAGGCTAGGCCCTTGGAGCTCATAACCTCCTGTTTTCATTTGTTTCATGTAAGTTTTTGCTTCTGTTATCCGATCATGCAAAATAAATTCCTTGCACCAACTTTTGCCCACTTGTATCTCTTTTCACTACCATGCTTATATCACAAAACCATGTTGAAATAAATGTGTTGCTAGTGTGATTTCTCAAAGCTTTATTTCTTAACGTGGCCATGATTCCACCTACTCATTCATGTTGCCCTCAGCAGCTGCAAGGAACGATTACTTGTATGTTCTGGTAATTTAGTTCTTGTAATGCTTATGTATGAACTGGCAGCTGTTATTTATTCTTTTAGCAATGCTCACTTTTGAGGTTATTTCAGTTAGCTTGTACTTCAGTTTCCTGTTTGGTAGTCTCTCTTACCCTCTGTTGGTTTCTGCATTCCAGCTGGGAATTAAGGCATGGAACAACGTACGTGACTGCATTGGATTCACTCCCGAAGATTATGCTCTCGCTCAGGGCCATGACTCATACATAAGATTGGTCCAGAAGAAAATTGACAAGCAACATCACCAGAGTCAGGTGGTCCTCAACATTCCTGGTGTTGTCTCCTATGAGCTAGTAGATGCACTTAAATCTGGTAAACCAAACTTATTCCAGATAACTAAGAGTTGCTTGAGCAGAGAACGACAACCGTATTGCAACAGATGCAGCCAAAAGATAGCTTACCCTAACTCTGTGGCGAGGACCATACTGTACAGACCAGTAATGCTCTCTCTTGTGGGTATCGCGGCAGTCTGTGTCTGCATGGGCCTGCTATTTAAGACGCCGCCCCAAGTCTTCTATGTGTTCCCATCATTCAGATGGGAATTATTGGATTATGGCTTCATGTGAAAGAATAACAAATGCCATGATGCTCAGTTTGGTGGGTTAAATTAGTGAGCTTTTCTGTCCGAGAAGTACACTTTTAACAACTGTAACATAATATTTCTCTGTAATATTAGAGGGATCATATTATTCTCGACACTGAATCTTGTGTAAGTTTTTGTTGACTTCAGTAGCTCTTTTTTGGTGGTTGATAGGATGGCACAGCATCAAGGCAAATTAGTTAGAGAGATCCTTGTTGAGTTCTTTCTCCTGTTCATAGAGCTAAATGCCTCCTCTAAACATGTTTCTCACTGCAGTGGCAAGCAAAGGGATGCTGGGAATATCATGATGGCCTAATGCTTTATAATCATCATATGTTACCAACTGTAGCTCAGTGAAATGTTGCATTGCATTTTTAGTTCCAGTGAAATGCTTACACTAAGAGCTGGTATCACAGCCTGTCTTACATATTATTGTATATATTAAAATAATTTAGTTGTTTATTAAGAATATTAAGGCTCATAACATCGATTAATCCGGTCAAAGCAGATCAAAATCAAATTTCTGAAAAAACCAAAAAACAAGATTGAACCAGTGATTTAGTGAATTTTACTATGGGTTTCTTTTGCATATTTATTAATGCAAAATTTGTAAACTGTGTATATACCCCTTCAAATTTTAGTACAGCACATATATATAAGCGAATTTGAATTTAAGTTAACATAAATACATAAAAATATTTAAAATATTCTAATCATATATATTTTTGTAATTGCTGATATCCGTGTTTGGTGTTCTGACTTGGATACAGGATTTGGGTAGCTTTATGCCCTCCTTGAGGCGGGGTTTAGAAAGCGGTGGGTTTCTTGGCGCTGTTTTGTTAGCGGTGGCTCCAATAGAGAATCTAGGGCTTCCTTCCCTCTTCCGGAGCCAAATCTAGCGTTTCCCTTGGAGGAGAAGAGACCCGATCTTGGGGCGTTCTCTCTCCGGCTCGGTTCGCTTCGTTTTGTTGTCCTTTGTGGCGGTTAGATGAAGTTAGCGGGGCTGAAATCCGTGGAGAACGCCCATGACGAATCGATATGGGCAGCGGCGTGGGTTCCGGCGACGGAGGCCAGACCAGCGCTCCTCCTGACGGGGTCCCTAGATGAAACCGTGCGGCTGTGGCGACCCGACGAACTCACCCCTGTGGCGCCACCCTCCAAGGGTCACGCCCTTGGGGTGGTCTCCGTCGCAGCCCACCCTTCCGGCGCGGTGGCGGCCTCCTCCTCCCTCGATAGCTTTATACGTGTTTTTGACATCGACTCTAATGCATCCATTGCCACCCTCGAGGCGCCTCCATCTGAAGTTTGGAGCATGCAGTTTGATCCAAAGGTGAGGCCCTTATGTGGTTTGGTCATGCTTTAAAAAGCCTAGATTTTCGTTGCTTTTTTGTGCTATGTTTGCCATTCTCTGTTCATTTCTGGTGCTAGTGATTTAAGCGACTTCGAAGAAAAGGGTAAAAATCATGTTTTGGCTGTTCTTGAAGAAGAGATACTATGTAAAACCATGTGCTTCAGTTGTTGTAAGTCTCGGTTATTTGGCTTTGCAACAACTGATGTCGTTGGCTGTCGTGCGCCTGTGTATCTCTTAAGGGAGGAGACTACTGGACTATGTTATGACTCGCATGGATATGGTTCCTCCCTTCTTTTTCATACATCAGTAGTTTGCATGTGCTATGTGTATGTGGTAATCAAGAAGATACTTCTTTAGGTACCAACATATGATATACCGTAGAATCCTGATGAGGTTAGAAACATACTGTCTTAATGATTCTAGCCTCAGCTTTATTTTCTGAGAAACCGTGTTTGATATTTAACAGTCTATTGCATGTATCTACTCTGCTTTAGTTTTAGATCAGAATATGTTTTTATAACAATATATGTGAGTAAAGCTGTCTCCATTGTATCTTGTTTCTTCTTAAAGTGTAGTTTTTTTTCTGGCATTTATCTACTAAAGTTGATGAAGAAATGTTACATAAAAGTCAATATTGGGACATCATATTTGATGTTGGATGAGGCAATATTAGAATAGCTAAAAAGTGATGACCTAATTTAATAAGGATATCTTTGTTGGATTTTTCTGCTAAGTTAATGATTAATTATTGAACCAATTCGGATTCCAGTTTGAAGCAATATTTCTGCTTAAAAACTTTTTGCTTTGTCATCCCTTTCAAGTACAACACTTGTTTAAGTTGGAATTTCTCTATTTTCATAAGAAATTTATGGTATGAAGATGGAACTGATTGCATCTAGTTGTTGGCCATTATAGGTCTGGTGTCAGAGTGGGTAACCCATGAAAATTGGAAATTGTATTTGGAGTTAAAACAATCTCGAAAGGAGATTTGCCTTACATCTTACAGTGAGACTTTTCTAGAATGTTTAGAGAAATAATGCTGTATTAATAAATGGTGTTGTATGCTTTCCTCATAAAGGCTCTTGTCATGTGTATCTGATGACTCTGTTGTCTTATATTGGAGGCATAATAGTCTGTAACTGTTGCATTACCACAAAAGGAAAGGGATGTGTGACTCTTCTGGTGCATACTTGATGAATTTATGTGTTACCTTGTATTGAAGGAATATAGTTGCATTATTACAAAACGAAAGTGATGCACTTAATAGTTTTCGCATGACATTTGATAAATGCAGGCTTACATGTGAAAGTTAAACATGGTAAGATGTGTAATGAATCAAATATCATTAAATGTATGATCGATGTTGCAATATGGCGATGTCACCAAGGTTCTTTAACAAGTTAGGCACGTCCCTTTCATCACATAGGCTGCATCTACTTCAGTATTTGAATAATTTCATGAGGTTTCGACTCACCTCAAACGTGAAGCTGAAGGCCTCTAACTTTTATGATCCTGTATGGTAGCGTTACCAGTTTATTTGAAAGCACCTAATTTACATAATAACCAAAGGGTTTTTCTTTTTCAATGAAAGAACATCCTTGTGATCGAGTAGTCTGTTATGTCATGATATATAATTAACCTGTTGGATACTGTTCATGCATCTTGCTGTGGACTCTCATACATACATACATACATTTGAGGTGGGGTTTTCATGTGCAAATTAGTTTGGAATTTATCCATAGATTTAAGTTTTCAAGCTGAAGCATCCTTAGTAGGCTTGTAGTTGTTATTATCATCACCAATCCAGTAAGCGTTTCCCCCTCAAATATTGGTTTAGGCTATAGATCTATCTAACTAATTTGATTTGAGAATTAATATCCATATCCATATCCTTGCCACTATTTATACTATGTGCAAGAGGATTTTGAACCAATTTAAGATTAAACAACTGAGATCCGTCTCTATAATTTTTTTCCTAGATATGTAGAAAGAACTAAATGGTTAATTTTTTTAATGTATTTTATGCATCTACCACATACAAAGACCGGAGGAACTATATGTATTCTATAAAGTTAGCCAAGTTAAACCAGTATCTACATGTTTCTACGAGACATTTACAATTAGAAAATCATGTGTTTTTATTTTGTTTGTACAACTCAACGTGGCCAAAGCTCAAGTCCATCAAAATACTTTCATCACATTTTATTCTTGAGAAATCAAAACATATAGCTTAGGTTGGAACCTTCTTCATTGCAAGTCATTTAGGAAATATATTTGTGTTCAAAAGTGTATATTTTGGAAATAACTTTATTTGTTTGTTATTGGTTGTCGTTGAAGATGTTGACCTGATAAATTTTGGCCATGAAGTCTTGCACATATCTATGATAATAAAGGTTGCACTTGAATTATCTCACAAAAAAAATCCCTTTTATTTAGGGCACCATTCTGGCAGTTGCTGGTGGTGGCAGTGCTTCAGTTAAGCTGTGGGACACCTCCTCGTGGCAACTTGTTTGCAGCCTTCCGGTTCCACGCCCAGAAGGTGCCCGACCTGATAAGACTGGCAGCGGCAAATTTGTTCTTTCTGTTGCATGGAGTCCAGATGGTAAAAAGTTAGCTTGCGGATCTATGGATGGGACAATTGCTGTGTTTGATGTTGCACGTTCTAAGTTCCTCCACCACCTTGATGGTCATTACATGCCTGTGAGGTCGATGGTCTTCTCCCCTGTGGATCCTCGTGTCCTATTTACTGCTTGTGATGATACTCATGTACACATGTATGATGCGGAGGGAAAGAGCCTGGTTGGTGCAATGTCGGGACACACAAGCTGGGTGCTGAGTGTGGATGCCAGTCTGGATGGTGCAGCGATAGCAACAGGATCCAGTGATCGAACAGTTAAACTTTGGGATCTCAGCATGAGGACTGCAGTGCAGACTATGACAAACCACTCTGACCAGGTGTGGAGTGTAGCATTTCGACCTCCTGGAGGAACAGGATTACGTGTAGGGCGGCTAGCGAGTGTATCTGATGACAAGAGCATATCATTGTATGATTACTCATAATCTAGCAAATGTCAAACAATAATGAGCGTATTAATTAGAGACGAACTGTTAGGTGTTGTTTCCTGTTGTAGTTGATTTGCCTATTAATTTTTTTTCTTGGAAATTTGACACCATAACATGGTAAGTGAGAGTACCTCAGTTTGTACCATTGTCATGTTTGTACTGCATGTTGTTTAACTGTTGTAGACCATGTTACCCCTCTATGACTTCTTTTTTTTTGTCCTATTCCTGGTTACCCTCGACAGAATTTGCAGGCTTTTTTTTTTCTTTGCCATCTTGGTGGTGACTTTTTTCGTCTAAATCTTGCTAATTATGCTAACATATATGTCTGCATTTGCTTCTAAGGCCTTTGATTCAGCGTTGTTTGGTAGACTGAATCAAATGTTGGGCTTGAAACAGTATATATTTGCACCTGATAGTGTTGGACGAGTTTTTTAGGAGTAATGTTGACATTTGAATAACTCTTCCTGAGCTGCAGTTAACATGGCTTGTTTCTGGAAATGTGATCAGTTTTAGTTGCCAAAGCTGCACTTTGTATTCATCAAAGTGCTGCTAAATATGTTCTTCTGATGGATGAAATATCAAAACCCTAATGATCTGTGTGCTGTCCATTTCACTGCCTGATTTCTTGAATCTGCAGTTATTTGGAAGAGTATATCAAGTGGTTTTCCTAGAATCTCTTCTGGTTAATAATCTTCTTTACAGCTTGCAGGATTGATGACATAAATTGTTATAGCTCGTCAAGGTAAGACTTGTCCATCATAATTGATAATTAGATTCTGCAAAAAGTATGGAAGATAAGCTGTGTTCATTGATGTCTCCAGGAAGGCAATTTGAACCGAGTATTCTCTCAGGTGCAAATTCCAGAAATCCCCTTGTTGAAGATGGATGAGAGTACCAGGAAATGGTTTCCAGAAATCCACAACAGAAACTGGAATGAGTTATGCCTGTGAGATATGATTGCAAAGTTTCTTTTATTAGTTTTATTATCATCATACTAGTGTTGATATTGTTATTGGTGTATCATGCAATGCATGCATCACATAGCAGGTTACAGGAACCTTTGTCACAGAGACAGCAGCTATTAATTGGGTGCTCTCAAGTTAGCAATGGATCTTGTTTAAGTTTTATCCTTAAGTACTTAATAAAATTGTTGCTTCAATAATTCATGTAAAGGATTTTGAATTGGTTTACGGTAAGAAATTTAAGTGGCTTTTTTAGGCATTTTCTCGAATCAATTCCCTAATATTAACTTTTTACCGAGTGGTTTCCCATATTAGCCATTTTATCGTTGTTTTTTTTCCCATAATGAATAATTTGATCATTGATGTTATTCAAAAAATATTTTAATTTTGATGATTAATTAGCATAATTTTTTAAAAAAATAAAAAATAGTACTAATCATCATAGTATTATTAGTATTTTTTTAGAAAATTATGAGAATTAATTATCATATTTTTGAATAGTATATGTGATCAAGTTATCTTAGTAAAGATTGAGAATATTTTCATCCAAGTCGAAAAAAATATTCCATGGTAAAAATGAACATGAGAGCATCTTCTAATAAAAAGTCAATATAATGAATTTTTTTTTATAAAGTATCTTTTTCTTTTCTTTTCTTATGGGTCAATCTTAATATGTCACGTATCAAAGAAATGTAATATGGAATAGCTTAATGTGAGGATTAAAATTAAATATCGTACATTAAAAAAAATAATGATACGTATCTTTTGAATACGATAATCAATAGAATATCTAGTCACGAAGCACATCTATCGTCATATATCATCGTATAATTTTAAGTAAGAAAGAAACTAGATTTATTTTCTCTCTTTCTACTTTCTATAGGATCAATCGATGGACTAAGGATCCATATTTTCTGTCATAGGTCAACCCACATATACACCACTGAGTATTCTTGCTGAACTCTTCGAGGACAGATAGGTATACTACATTGTAGTACTTCAGAAATAACAATAATTTTCATGCAAATGATTTCTTTGGACTCGTTAACAGCCACTCTTTCCTGGTGAGAAATTATCTCTATGCTTCTTCAGCATTCTCCAAACTTGAGGAACACTGCTGTGAGTGAGTACATCAAATGCATTCTTTTAACCAAGGGCGTGTAATCTCTATCCACATAAGAACTTGGGTTGCCCTCATAAATTGCTGCTGTGAGCTTCGAGATCCAACCACTCGATTACCAAATGCTTCTTGTCTACCACTGGATTGGGATGACACCACCGTATAACTGGACCTTCGATACTGCATCTAAATCATGTTTGTTTGTCGGCAATGCACGATCATGGTCGACGGAGTCGAAGGGAGTTCTGACGGAGATCGTAGCCAAGCTGATTCGGGAGCATAGCAAGACAACGATGTGCCTTCTTAGGACTGTGATTCGGTTGATCAGGTGACTGGGAAAGAGGCCATGCGTATCTATCTATGTGGATTGAAAGAAAGATACTCCCCACTTTAAATTCGAAGTATGTTGTGCGTGTAATCAATCTCTTTAATCTTTCTTCTGTGGTCGTCGTAATCGCGATTACCATCCTTGCTGTAGTATCATTTCTGAAAGGCCTATTGTCGGATGCTAAATATGGCTCGGCGTCTCTGTTGATAATTCCTGCAACAGCGTTAGATGTTTCCAGAAATGTTAGGATCTGTACGGAAGAAATAGATGAATTTAATTTGAAAGAGTAGGAAATAAGAATAGATAGAATTGATAATAATTTTGTTATGATAGAAAATGATTAAGCATATTGAATTAATTATTTGGATATACTAAGTCTAGTTTTAAATAAAACAAGTTTTTGTACGTATTAAAGTTTGGTGTTAAGATCTATTTTATCCAATGTGGTTTTAGTCATTGATCACTTAAGCTCTTATGATTTACTCATGTCCAAATTAATCCTTATATTTTCAAAAACATAACATATAGGTTCCTCTCGTTAAGTCTGAGTTACTAAACGTTAGAGTCTACTTATGCTCGCTCACAATAAATTATTAATATAATAATATATATAATTTTAGTTTTAAAAGGGTTATAAGGTACAATTTAGCATATATAATTTTTATGATGTACCACTTAAGTCTTTAAAATTTACTCGTGTCTAAAATAAACCTTACATTTTCAAAATTATAACATATAAGTCCCTCTTGTTAAGTTTGAGTTAATACATGTTAGAATGTGCTTACATGCTATGCTGACTCAAAATAAATCAACAATATAATGACAAGTATAATTTAAGTCTAAAAAAGATTAAAAATCATCTTGTAGAGGAAGAGGAAGCAACGGAAGCCTTAGCGATGGACGAAGGTGAAGAGATAGAGGTAAGAGAGGTCGAAGGTGGAAGTGAGGGAGAGGTGAACTATCACGTCGTATGTGTGGTGGGTGAGGGCATAGGAGAGGACAAAGTGGGAGGCGGTGTTGACCACTATATGCATAGCGTCGGACTAGTCGACGCAAATCCAACTAAGGCAAGACCGGAATCTGTTGAGCTTATCATTAGCACTGGAGAGACTACATGCATACGACAGCCTTTTAAGCAGCAACGACTCAGTACTACTATTGGTGGTCGCTTCCACGACGATGCCTCCTTCCATCATTGATGGTAGTCTTAAATTTTTAAAAATTAAATTATATATATTATTATATTAATGATTTATTATGAGTTAGTATGCCACATAAGTAAACTTTAACGTTTGTTAAACGGGAGGGACTTATATGCTACATTTTTTAAAATATAAGGTTTATTTTAGACATGAATAAACTATAATATCTTGAGTGATACATGGTCAAAACCATAGAAGATAAAATAGACCTTAATCATTTTTTAACTTAAATTATATATGTGATTATATTAATAGTTTATCATGAGTCAACATGTCACATGAATAGACTACATCTGTTAACTTAACTTGATGGAAAAAGCTTATATGCTACGTTTATTAAAATATATGAGTTATTTTAGATATAAGTAAATAATAATAGCTTAAGTGAACTATGACTAAAATCATGAAGCTAAAATAAATCTTAATCCTAAAATTTTTAATAAAAGATTATAAGTAATTTAGTATAGAACGAGTCCCTCGTAGAATCCAATTGATCAATTAGAACAAAAATTTCTACAAGGATTTAAACTCCAAATCTTTCGAGATATTAAAAAAAAAATATATATATAAATCTAATTTCCAAAGGATCAAATTTTACTCATATAATAAGAATTTAGTAAAAAAATTATAGTTAAAACAAAAACAATTTTATGGTTGAAGGAGGTTGATATCATTTTCAAGAACAAATATGTTCAAAATACTCATAATTAAGATAAAATTAAGGATAAAAATTACTGTAGAATGGAATTAGAACACTTGTCTTAAAATAATTTGATCTCGAATAAAAAAATTAATCCAAAAATCCTAAGCCAAATCAAGTATCGATGGACGTGACAGTCTTTTTATTGGCATATTCTCTTCATCTCATTGCCAAGGTCAATGGTGTTGATGGATCCAATTCGATCCAATTCAATCTGGTTTTATCGGATCGAATGACGATTATGATCCAGCGATCCAAATAATTTTCTTTTACCTATCTGATTCTATTATATAACTTACATACGTATGTATATATTTGTTGCTCGGATTTTTCATTTATCGGATCGGATTCGAATCGACCGCCATCCGATCCGTTTGCAACCATAAAAATGTGCTGACGACGCCATTTTAAAGGGCCGCCTTTTGGGGTTCGGCCTATTAAGTTTGTGGATCTTTCTTGGGCTCACATAGGCCCTCGTAGTCTCGACTTTTCTCGAATCCCGCTCGGCAAAGTTTTAGGGTTTTGGTTTCTTAGAGAAGCCGCAGCGACGGAAGCGCCAGTGCTCCCGCAGTCGCTCACCCCGATCGCTTTGCTCGACGTAGGTGATTTCTAGTTTTATCTGCTGCAAGCTCTAATAGATCCATCGGCCTTGTGAAATGGCGGTATGTTGAGTCGTTTCGATGAGTTCTCTTGGTAGGTTCTGTAACAATTTCTGATGGCAGAGCTTTGCCTTGACCTTCTTTTGATTCTTTTGGTGTTTAGGCTGCGCGGCTTCTTAAGGATGAAGCTACCGAGGAGAAAGGAGATCGGGCGAGGATGGTATGCAGTCTTTT